GAATTAAAGTGAACATACCATTACATTTAGAGTTGTGTCATTTATTGTGCATCTATATAAATAGAGAGTGTATTTCAAAAACATCTATAAAACACTTATGCAACTGGGACAACTAGAACAGAAATGAACAAAAGTGAAAAACTACAAGCCTTAATGTTGTCAATTTGCCTGTTTGTGTGCATGGAAAACTGACATGCCAGATTTTAGCTAGCTGTTTGCTCTGTTACCCCAAAACATTGGAGTTGAAAAGTTGTTGGAAATGAATAGTGGAACAGAACTTGAAGTGTTGTTATAAAATATAGACATGAACATTTCATTCTCTCTTTGGTATCAATATAATCATTTTTATAAACTCCACAGCCACTTGTTTATGCCTAAAAACAGAGCAAAAACGAACACACTTAGCTTATACATGGGTTTATAACAGGGGGAAAGCTTATACCCAGGGGGCCTTATATCTGAAGTAATATCTTTGTTAGCAAATGGATAGGCTTATATCCGGGAGGGCTTAAAACCGGGGGGGGGGGCTTTAACGTGGGATTTTACGGTATACTTTTGAGTGCCTCTGCTCCCTGTGGCTTTATGTATTTTTTACTTACAATAACCACCTGCCATAAGCAACCAATATTTTAAGTGACCACCCATCCAAAACACCAAACATTTTCCCAGGTTACAGGTCAAAACTATATTCAGGTTAAATTTTTTTAACTTGGGGTGATTCTCATTTCCTTTGTCTCCTACAGTCTGTAGCCCCGACATGTAACTCATGAATATATAGCATTAGGAGAGAAAGAAATTTGAGAATCTCTACTACACTTTTTTATTTTGTATATCCGCCTTTTATCATTGTCATGTAATTACTTTGTGTACACTATAAACCCTGGCCTTGTAAACTTATTCTTTTATAGCTCTGAGGGATTCCAATATCTATTGGATCTGTGTACTTTCCGTATTCATGCAGCGTGCAAAGAAAGTACTGTCCGATAGCCCGGGGCTAGTGGATTTTGCTATCGGGCTAGTGAATTCTGTTTTTAACTTGCCCGACGGGCAAGTGATGTTTTATGAGGAATTTGACGAGAAGAACAAAACGTTTTTGGGGCTAGTTGAAATGACGTCTGGGCTAGTAAATGCTAGCTTCAGCTTGCCCGAAGTTCAAGCTGTAAAAATGATTTTCCTTGCACCCTGTCATGTCTTGTTTTTCTTTTTTTTTCTTCTTCTTCTGTGGTGAAATAGAATCAACCTACAATCAGCTACAAAATTGTTGAGACATTGTACTCAGATAGGGTAAATACGGATAACAAAAGAATCCACACCCTCCCCCTGTCTCCTTCATTCAAAGTTGAGGTGTTTGTTGTTTTCTATAGGGAGCTCGAACAGTGGCACAACATTGCCTGGAAGGGATGGGTTAGGAAAAGTGATATTTTCCCCTTTTGAAGTCAGTAAAACGTAAAAAAGCCCACTTTAGAACGAAATTGTGAAAATTTCTGACCAGCAAGGTCAAGTAAAACGAAAGCAATTAGCTTAAGATTTTTTTTGTTGACCACAACAAATGAAAACCAGAGGAGATTACAAGTGAAGGCCGCTACGATTCAGAGTACTTTTACAGTGATGCTGACAAAAAAATTTCTGAATCAAAACATTAGAAAGCTTTCCTGTGAGAAAAAGGTCTTTACACTAAAATCTAGCACCAAAGGATCAGAACAAGCAGATAATTTGTGGATCAAACTTTAATGTTACCTTTTGCTTTAAGTGGAACAGACCTATACCTTTACGAAGGTATATATGCATGCTTTGCTCATTAGGAGCTGGACCCCTTAATAGAGATATACCAAATTTTTGTAGCATTTAATTATAATGCACCTATCAATGTAAATCCTGTGGGGGGGGGTGCGGGCAAGGGGCGGGGATTTGATGCCTGAGACTTTCCCCCAGTCGGGCTTTTGATCGTGCGAAGCGACCCCGGAGTCGGGACATTTGACTTTGACCGACAGAAGCCTGGTATCATTTCAGAAGCAGTTACCAAATCCATCCCTCGAGGCTTTCTGAAAGCCACGCTGTTGGAGAAAGGTGTGAAGTTTTCATTTGTTCTAATCGCCATAATCCGATACGTTTTTATTATAATAGCACGGTCAATCTTCCTAGAGTGATTTTGTTGTTCAAAATAAGAGATGCTAGTGGAGAGATAAAAATTATACATAGTATTGTTTGTTTAGTTTTTTTCTCCTGGGGTGGGGTTTTTTTTGACACTTTTTATTGACCTTTCGTTTCCCACCCTGGGGAATTTGATTGAAAAATTTTAAAATTTGTCAAATCCCCACCCCTTGCCCGCACTACCCCCCACGGGGTTTACATTGATAGGTGCATAAGTACTTGTCTTCAATAACATGATACAGTTTTGGCTCCTGAACTTTGTTGCGAAAATCTGCCACTTTTACAAATCAAATATACAATTGTAAGCTTAATTACTATGTTTCTTTTTATTTGGCAGAATCTCCAAGTGATGACCTGGATAGTAGCTTCCCCAATGAGAAGGGTTTGCTGGTGGCTGTAAAAGAGGAAATAACACAACCTTCAAAGCAGACTGCTCTTTCTACATGTACTACTGGTATGTCACAGACTGAGTTAGATGACAGTGGCTTCTTTGCTCCTCAGAATGAGGAGAGCCAGGACAATGACAATGTTGACATTGTTAAAATGACATTTAAGGTCAGTATTCTCTGGAAAATATTTCTTATTGATTTTTTTTATCAAAAGCACAATGTGCCATAAGTATAACTGCATGATATATTTTGTTTTTAGGAAAAAGAGGATTTAGAAATGAAGGTTACTTCCTTGGATGAGGTACTAAAACTACTTAATTATTTACCATTACCTAGTTTTGACGACTGATTTGGCCTTTTACTGATAAAATTATTTCATTGACTCTACCCACCACTATTTGCCTCCTAATTGGGGGATAGTTGAAAAATTATTAATTTTTTGGTCTTCTTTTAATGTTATGTTGGTGACTTAACCGGAAAAGTGCTGGATCATGAATGTAATTTGAAAATGATGTCATCACATCAAAATTTTCTCTAGAAGTACAATTTTTTAAGGAGTTGATCTGTGCCATTGATGTAGGTAGCTGCAGGGTTTCTAACTATTGGTCTTATGTTTCTATTTTTAAGCAAAACAAAGAATTAAGGATGCATTTAGGTAATCAAAATGAGGTAATTAAAAACTAAAAAATATACGTACACTGTAATAATTATCTCTTACTAAGTGTTGTGTACAGTATTAATAATTATTGAACTCCATAATACAAATAATTGTCATAATATTTTTAAAATAATTGTTAAAACGATAATTAAGGTCAGTATTCTCTGGAAAATGTTTCTTATTAATTTTTTTTTATCAAAAGCGTAATGTGCCATAAATATAACTGCATGATATATTTTGTTTTTAGGAAAAAGAGGATTTAGAAATGAAGGTTACTTCCTTGGATGAGGTATTAAAACTACTTAATTATTTACCATTACCTAGTTTTGACGACTGATTTGGTCTTTTACTGATAAAATTATTTCGTTGACTCTACCCACCACTATTTGCCTCCTCTTTGGGGGATAGTTGAAACAGTATTAATTTTTTGGTCTTCTTTTAAATAATGTTATGTTGGTGACTTAACCGGAAAAGTGCTGGATCATGAATGTAATTTGAAAATGATGTCATCACATCAAAATTTTCTCTAGAAGTACAATTTTTTAAGGAGTTGATCTAGATCTGTGCCATTGATGTAGGTAGCTGCACGATTTCTAACTATTGGTCTTATGTTTCTATTTTTAAGCAAAACAAGGAATTAAGGATGCATTTAGATAATCTAAATGAGGTAATTAAAAACTAAAAAATACACGTACACTGTAATAATTATCTCTTATTATTAAAGTGTTGTGTACAGTATTAATAATTATTGAACTCCATAATACAAATAATTGTCATAATATTTTTAAAATAATTGTTAAAATGATAATTAAGGTCAGTATTCTCTGGAAAATGTTTCTTATTAATTTTTTTTTATCAAAAGCGTAATGTGCCATAAATATAACTGCATGATATATTTTGTTTTTAGGAAAAAGAGGATTTAGAAATGAAGGTTACTTCCTTGGATGAGGTATTAAAACTACTTACCGTATTTATTCGAATAAGCGCCCAACCTCGAATTAGCGCCCACCTCGAATAAGCGCCCATGCTAAAGGCAGAAAAAGTTAATAAGCGCCCAGCCTCGAATAAGCGCCCACCCCACCCCACTCCCTCCCACAATAACTCCAATAAGAGATAATAAGAGACCTTCCTGGAGACGGAGTTTTCTTCAGAGTATTTTACAGAAACCTTGCTTTGTTACATCTTCACTTTTTGTTGGTACCATTTACTGTTTGGTTGTAAAATATACTACTACACTTGCTGAGAATGGTGAAAATTTAATAAGCGCCCAGCCTCGAATAAACGCCCACCTCGAATAAGCGCCCACTCTCAAGGTCCAAAAATTTAATAAGCGCCCAGGGCGGTTAATCGAATAAATACGGTAATTATTTACCATTACCTAGTTTTGACGACTGATTTGGTCTTTTACTGATAAAATTATTTCGTTGACTCTACCCACCACTATTTGCCTCCTCTTTGGGGGATAGTTGAAACAGTATTAATTTTTTGGTCTTCTTTTAAATAATGTTATGTTGGTGACTTAACCGGAAAAGTGCTGGATCATGAATGTAATTTGAAAATGATGTCATCACATCAAAATTTTCTCTAGAAGTACAATTTTTTAAGGAGTTGATCTGTGCCATTGATGTAGGTAGCTGCACGATTTCTAACTATTGGTCTTATGTTTCTATTTTTAAGCAAAACAAAGAATTAAGGATGCATTTAGATAATCTAAATGAGGTAATTAAAAACTAAAAAATATATGTACACTGTAATAATTATCTCTTATTAAGTGTTGTGTACAGTATTAATAATTATTGAACTCCATGATACAAATAATTGTCATAATATTTTTAAAATAATTGTTAAAATCATTATGATAATTAAGGTCAGTATTCTCTGGAAAATGTTTCTTATTAATTTTTTTTTTATCAAAAGCGTAATGTGCCATAAATATAACTGCATGATATATTTTGTTTTTAGGAAAAAGAGGATTTAGAAATGAAGGTTACTTCCTTGGATGAGGTATTAAAACTACTTAATTATTTACCATTACCTAGTTTTGACGACTGATTTGGCCTTTTGCTGATAAAATTATTTCATTGACTCTACCCACCACTATTTGCCTCCTAATTGGGTGATAGTTGAAACAGTATTAATTTTTTGGTCTTCTTTTAAATAATGTTATGTTGGGGCCTCACCGGAAAAGTGCTGGGTCATGAATGTAATTTGAAAATGATGTCATCACATCAAGGAGTTGATCTGTGCCATTGATGTAGATAGCTGCACGTTTTCTAACTATTAGTCTTATGTCTCTATTTTTAAGAAAAACAAAGAATTAAGGATGCATTTGCATATTCTAAATGAGGTAATAATTTAAAAACTAAAAAATATATGTAATTCATCCCTTATGAAAGTGTTGTGTATCAGTACTAATTATTGAACTCATAATATAAATAATTGTCATTTACTTACATTATGTTGGTCTTCTTTTTTGAAATTATCCAAACATTCTCGGAGAGAATGGATTTGTTTAGCCTCATGATGTGTTATAATTATCCATTTAATTGCTTGATGTGAAATATGTTTTTTATTACATGCTGTATTTTATTTTTAAGGAATTGATAGGTTCAGAAGTGAGTGTTAATTCCTTAGAGGAGGTAAGTACCACTAGAATAACAATTATTATTTATCTGTGATGAATATATACAGTGTTGAACATAAACATTTCTCAAGCTTTTTAAACAAGATACGTTTTTGGTGTTCTAGTGGTATATTTCAGTCAATCCAGTGTCTAAAAATTATGTCAGTCCCTGAATGTAATTTAGATATGTGGCCTCTATTTATGACCTCACTTGACTTTGGTAATAGTAAAAAATTGGTCATTCCATGTAAATAAAACAGTCGCACTTACCACCGGTGAAATATGAGTGAAATGTCTGCCATTTTTGTTCTCACTTAACCAAAACAACTCAACCTCGTCCCCAGGTCTTCTTGGCTAACGGTGCCATAATCTGCAACTTGGCTTCACTTTTGATGTCTTTGGTTGAATATGGCAAAGTTCTGCCAAATTTGGTCAACAGTAGCTGGTTATGATGAGTTGTTATGTGTGTGCTTTTAGCCAATCAGAAACGGAGAAATATTTTGAGTGAATAATAAAATAAAATATTTAAATAAGGCCCAGAGTAAACTAAGCAGAAAAAAGGATAGCGTGTAAAGAATGCAAGAATAAATGTAATGCAAATGACCTTACAATGAATAAATGTCCACAAGCCACCAGTAAACATAAGCATGCAACAAAAACAATATTGCTGACCCAGAAAACAGTCAGCGGATCAACAGGAACCTGTTAGGTGCGTAGGGTATGAAACGTCTTCAGGTGGCAACTTTTTAACAGAGTGCAGAGTCACTACCAGATTATCTTTGTCATTTGAATAAAATTTATGAATTATTAATGCAATATTTTGAATTATTAATAAAGCTATACCCATGAAGGAAAATAATTGGGCAAGCAAGAAAATGACCCGGGCAAGTAAAACTGAAGACTTGCTTGCCCCAAAGGCAAGCTAAAATGTCTCTTTTTTTAGTGCTGGTATTGAAAAAAGAAGAGGTGTTAAAAAAGTTGGAAATTGTACAGGAAGTGAAATTTTGAGGGTTTTTTTCTTTGAATTATGTTTCATTCATTTAGCTGCATGATGTGCGTTGAATTTGTTGTATCATTTTCTGTTTTAATTTTTAGGAACTGAAACGTTCACAAGCAAGTGTTACTTCCTCAGAGAAGGTAATTACCCCTAACATGATGTGATAGTAAAAAATAATAATCGAAATAATGCAATATTGGTAATTAAAACAATCGCACTGGTGTTGGAAAGAAAATGATACTTTTTTCCATATCTTTTTACCATAACTTTATTATTCAACACAAGTGAACTTGTGGCCAGGTGAAGAAAAACACATCGCAAACTTATGGTCTGGAACGGCAAATGACAGCTAGCTAATGATACAAAAGACAAAACAAAACAAAACAAAAACATAAGGTTTGGTTCATTTATCTTCTTAGTTTGCGAGGACGTTTTAACAATGTTCTGCCTATGAAACGTGGAGTGCCTTCCAAAGGCATCGTTTATGGAGATGTCTCATTGTAGAGAAGTTGATGTTCTGACATCTGCTTGGCAGACCACTGCATGACTACCTTTAATAGGCCAAGCAAGGACCATGTGGAGAATATTCTTATCAACTACAACGACAAGATTTCAATTCCCCAGATTCCGACACAAACAGACTTTATTTTGTCTCCTAATACTTATGAAGCATAGATGGGTATTCTGAAATCCATCTTTTCAAAAATAGGTCTGCTAGAAAACTCGGCCTGTTTTTACTGCTTATTTCAATAAATATCAGTGTTACTTGATTCCCTGGGGTGAAGGTCCATGTTTAGTCACAACAGGAGAGGCTTACTCTGACAAAAGGGGTTCAGGATCTTTCAAATCTCTGGTTGGAGTTGTACAGGGACAGCTTGTCATGGAGGATCTTCATAACTTCTCCCATGAGGGTAAGGAGAGTTTCGTCAATGACAACCTGGCTTCCTAAAAGCAAACAAATGGATGGGATGAATCATTCTCCACAACATTCCCCTGGTTTTTGCTAGCTTGTGGTGGATTAAAGTTCCAGTTAATTCCAATTCGACTGGGGCTTCTTTTTTTCCAAGGCAGACTGCCTTGATTATCACCTCTGCTCCCCTATAGTTGGTTCCCTTGTCGCTGTATACTTCAACCAGTGGTCCATGCCTGCTGACACCTTGTGAAGGCGTGAATGAAGGAGTCGGTTTTTAGGTGATAGGCAATCTCTGTATATGCACTGCCTTAAAATTGCCGGATGTGAATACACAAACTTGACAGTGTCTTAACTTCACTGGAACCAGTCCAAAAAGTAAGCCACTCCTACAGATGAGAATTGCAGACAGCTTATGGGATGATCATGGCAATGGAGCCATAATGTATTTGTTCAAAAGGTTTAGAGTTGCACTGCCATCACTCCAAGCATTTCCCAACTACATGTTGTACAGTGGCATGCCCTTGGAAAATCCAAAAATCCAAAATTTTAAGCTCAGTGAAACAAATGTGAAAATGAAATAATCAGCATGTCACGAGCGAATCCTGTTGGGGACTCAGATTATTTCTTTGTCGCACACTTGTGACATGCTGGTTATTTCATTTTCACATTTGTTTGTTTCATTCTTTGACAGCACACAGCACGATGTCGACATTGCTGATCCTAGCAGTATGCAAATATGAACCTGGTATTTGGCCTCGTTCACCATGAGTTCTCCGTAGCTCAAGTGGATAGAGCACCCACCCGGTGTTTGGGAGGTCATAGGTTTGAATCCTGTCGGGGACTTACCCTGTCGGGGATTTTTTTCTTTGTCCCACGCTCATGACATACTCATTATTTCATTTTCTCAAACAAAATTTTTGTGCTTTGGGATAATGACTAGCAGTCAGAGCAGGATTTGAAACTTGGTGACCTAGTCAAAATCCAGCACTCTAAACCACTTGGCTATGTTGCCCTAAATTATTTTGGATATTTAAATACCAGGTATCCTTAATGGATATATAATGGATATCATTCGATATTATAATACTGAAGTATATATAAAACTGAAGATGCCTATTGTATTTTTTAGGAAGTGACGGATCTACGTTTAAATGAGACATTTCTGGTGAAGGTAATCGCAGTGTAACAAACTTATTTTGCCTTTTTTGATTGGCTTGCATACATATGAAACATAATTTTTACTACATGATGAATACTGCATACAGCAAATGTAACCCAAGGATGGATCCATGCCAAACAGGACTTGCACATCAGTCATTTTCATAGCAGGTTTCCGTCCTAATACATAATCACTTTGTTGGGCATTGTGGCTCAATTTGCGGACTAAATGGAGAATTTGGATTTTAGCCCTCTTAAACAAACCAGTGAAAAGTGAAAATCAAACAATCTGTAGTTCCAGAAAATATCCATACCCCCACAGGGGGCACTTTTGCTTTTGGCCATCCCACCCCCCCTGGAATTTCCATTCCAGGAGTACATGTACTTGTCAAACCCCACCCCACCCCTTGGAATTTCCATAATTTTCCAACTTGGTTAGGCACCCTCCGGAAAGGATAGTCATGTCAGCAGTGCTGCTGGGCTATACTATTATGCAAAAGTTACTTGTTTTTGTGATAGAGAGAAAAAAAGTCCTTTTATTCATTTTAGTGGAGTGTCTAATCTCAATAGGCAACTTTCGATATATTAAAATTCAGCATGATAGTGAGTCTTAGAGGACAAAAACAAAGAAAATGAATAAACTATGATTATTCATGTTTATTCATTTTCTTTGTTTGTGTCCTCTAAGACTCGCTATCATGCTGAATTTTCATATATCGAAAGTAGCTTATTATGCCTTGTTAAAAACATGTCACAAGACGGCTTATTATTATCATACATTCAACTCTTGAACTCTTTTCTGATTGGCCAAAAGCGTACAGTGAATTTTTGAAATTGGCGCCTTGGACATCAAGGACACTCAAGATCATGGGAAATCATGTCAAGTTCGCGCACAACTGTGTTGCTTGCCGTCAGTGAAGAAGCAAAAACACGACTTCCTGGTTTGCTTTGCTAAATGTACAATAAAACAATTATTAGATTCGGTTTTCGTGGTATCCAGAATAACCAATGTCGAGGTAGGGGTTATCGGCTGAGACTGATGACCATTACCGAGACCTTGATTATTCTGGATACCACAAGAACCTTATCCAATAATTGTTTAGAATGCGACCACATTACGGTGAATACCACAATATATTGTGAAATACAGTTACAGCTAGATATTAACCAAAAGTTTATTTACGAGCCGATGACACTGACTATCTATGGCATAAGCCGTGAAAAAAAAAACATTCAGCCGACCTTTAATAAAATATCCTTGATGAAAACAATAATTCTTGTTTTAAAAGACCGTTAACAGTAAAATAACTGATAGCCAGCTCAACAGAGCAGCTGTTAGTCTTTGAAAACTCACCTGTTGTACTAATTTCGTCCCTGGAAAAAGACATCACGAAGCTACCCCCCACCCGGTGAGAAATTGAGTGTTTTTAGATCCCCCTCCCCTCGGAATTTCCGTTGCCCTCCATTTTGGGGGGCCGGGTGGGGGGCCGGGTGGGGGGGGGGGTTGGGAATGGATATTTTCTGGAACTACACAATCATACGATGTAAGCATCCAACCAAAATTGAGACGCCAGTGCATGCATTATTCGCACTGTTTCCTCCATTTGCAGCATTTGTGAAAGAAATCACGGCCGAGGTTAATATTATTTCCAAGCCCAAACCATATATGGCTGAAAAAACAGAAACTAGCAATTTCCTAAGCTAGAGAAGCTTCTGATGTAAATAACGCCTGTGTTAGCTCCATGGCTCGCGCCCGTACTGTCTCACCACAGGCGGCCCAGACGTAGTATGTGTCACTGAATGAATATATTAATATTCACATGGACAAATTAATGCGATGAGTCGTCGAAACTCCCATGAACTAAAATAGTCCAAGAGTGAAAATATAACAAAACAAAGCTAAGATACCTTCAACTGAACGTATCCTTGTCTTTCCTGGCTGGTTTAAGTGGCATTTTGTTGAGTTTTGCAATTGTAGGTACTATCTACTAAAGAAGAATTAAAGGCTGGCTACAAAACAAACGGACCATCTCCACGCGCCTTCACACGAAGCGCTATAAATTCGAGAATAATCGACGAATCCGCTCCAAATTGCCATCGGCTAATCTGCAGGTAACGTGTGCTCCTGCTTCTTGCTCGCTGGCTCCACAAAACCCATCGCAACTGCACAATAATTGCTCGCTCATCAACAACCACTGTTGACCTTTACGCTTCGATACGACCGCTAACTACCAGGTATAATACGCGACGTGAATATTCAAGCTTAGCGACCGCGTTCGCGCAACAATGCAGCACTTGCTAAGGGAGGGATTGTACCATTGCTTCTAGGTCAATCAATCGGGAAAATAATATTGACGCTCTTGTAATTTTTAAAAAGATCCAATCTGCCTTAGGATCAACGAACAGATACGAATTTTATAGCGGAGCTGAAAAAAATGAGCGGCAGTGGAAAAAGTGAACAAGAACATGTACCACATTTCCTCCATAAAAAGTGAAAACCAGGAAGTTTTCTGGACGTTTCACGTTGCAGTCATACAAATCAACGGCAAGGAAATGTACAAGAAAATGTGCTGCAATTTGACCTATTGTTGTTTTTCACAGTTCTGGTCAAGGGCATCCAACGTTTAATTTTTCACATTTCACTTACCGGGTAAGGCTATTTTTCGTAGAGAGTAAAACGGAATCCTAAAATTTTCGGATTTAAAAATGTGATGAAAGAAGGAATCTGAAAAATTATCTCCTTCGTAATACGTTAAATTGCATCTAAATTTTCGGGAAAATAATTCTAAATTCCTCGTAATTTCGAAAAGACTCAAGTTCCTCTAGAATGGCCGAACACTGAGATACAAATTTTATAGCGCCACTTAGAATGGATTTCTATAGAGCTAAAAGTACTTTATGAATAGCTACAAAAGTGTTTCAATTGAAAGTATTTGAGGAAACAGTCGTTGGGTGGCCCTGTCTCGTTGCCTTCTCCGCTTAGCATTACACGATATATTTTATATTTAGTTTGAGCAAACTATAAATCATTAGCTTCGCTTTTAGCCCTCCTGACTAAATTTATGTAAGCGCTGTTTATAATGCATTTTTAGATCGAAAGTTCTCTGGACAGCCTTAAATGTGATTTCAATGCATTTAGGGGGAAATCATCGTTGGGTGCCCCTGAGTTTTGAGAATAATAATGACAAAAAAAGATATCGCGCACATAAATTTTACTTTACGATATCTTCAGCTGTATCTTCTATTCAGCTGCATAGCTGAGGCCAGATTTTGCCTTTTTCCTGGGCGGAAAATTCTAGTCCTCCTTCACCAGTTCGGACAACATATTGTGGAGTAAGACGTTGTTCTGGAAAGAACTGTTTATTTAATTAATCTAAGCAAATAGCTCTAGTAGAGTCAAGAACCCATGCAAGCGGCTGGACGAACAATGTCTCTGCAGCTGTGACAGCGAACGTTAGAAGAATTCGAACTTGAAAACCAGGGCCGCCCTGTTGAAAACTTACGGACGGTCGCTCGATCGCCTTTTGTTTTCTGGTCAAAACTAACGCAGCTAACCTTCGGTCAGTGTCGATCGATTGACCTAGAAGCAATAGTACTATCCCTCCCATAGCAAGTGCTGCATTGTTACGCGAACGCGGTCGCTAAGCTTGAATATTCACGTCGCGTATTATACCTGGTAGTTTGCGGTCATATCGAAGCGTAAAGGTCAACAGTGGTTGTTGATGAGCGAGCAATTATTGTGCAGTTGCGATGGGTTTTGTGGAGCCAGCGAGCAAGAAGCAGGAGCACACGTTACCTGCAGATTAGCCGATGGCAATTTGGAGCGGATTCGTCGATTATTCTCGAATTTATAGCGCTTCGTGTGAAGGCGCGTGGAGATGGTCCGTTTGTTTTGTAGCCAGCCTTTAATTCTTCTTTAGTGGATAGTACCTACAATTGCAAAACTCAACAAAATGCCACTTAAACCGGCCAGGAAAGACAAGGATACGTTCAGTTGAAGGTATCTTAGCTTTGTTTTGTTATATTTTGACTTTTGGACTATTTTAGTTCATGGGAGTTTCGACGACTCATCGCATTGATTTGTCCATGTGAATATTAATGTATTCATTCAGTGACACATACTACGTCTGGGCCGCCTGTGTTGTAACCGGGAAGGGCTGGGGCGACTACGCGGTCGTACGGCAACGTCAGAACCGACACAAAATGTAAACAAACTCGGACGACAGGACTAGTTTTCCCGTCTAGGTTTTGGTTGATTTCTCTTCAATGGTTTCGTTTAAAGAAATAACAGACCTTGCTGTGCTTTCTTATGGCATGAATTTTATCAATGATGCTGGATTTCTATTGTTATATAATTCGTATAGCTCAGAAAACCTTTATTTGCCATATCATTTGTATCCCGAGTTCGACCTTCAAAATTTCAACGAAGATGAATGTCTGACAGAATTTCGTTTCAAGAAAGTTGACATCCCAAGGCTTGCACGGGCTTTACAAATCCCTGATGTTATAAGATGCTACCAAGGAACGATTTGCGACGGGATTGAACATTTAGTCTAAATATGTCGGGATTGAACTAATATAAATGTCACACAACTTTAATACATTTAAACAGAGTTAAATGAGCGTTCGCTCGCTCTAGCGCCGGTAAATTATAAAAATTTATTCTCAAAGCGAAACAAGTTGTTAAGAACATCCCTGGCAGATAAGCCAAAACATAAAAATATCTTTTTAATAGGTACTCGTGAAATTAAGTCTTGACAATCACTTATTGAAACTAAAATTTCTATAAGCTTAAATAAGCTCTCTTACTAGGCTTTCTTGTCTACAGCTATGATTATAAGATATCCAAATCGTTTGAGTTTTCGCTTAAATAACGAAGCAATAATACCTAAGGAATATCTAAGTATGACCAAGTACTTAGTCTTTGAAGTAGGCTTCTCAAAAAAGCGAAATAAGCTTTAAAATGGCAAAGAAATGACAGTTAATACTCACGTAGTGAAGAGTACGGCAAAGAAGGCAATTTGACGCGGCAGAAAACGAGGCTACGGCGGGAAAGCCGTACTGCAACTCGCCTGGTGACGCCACCGGAAATGATTTTGACCTTATGTAGCCGTAGTAGCCCCTTGCCGTAGCGAATCTTAAAGTCCCTATCATCATCAGTGGCGAAGTGCATGTTAGTTTTCTGGCCTCCTACCAAACACACCAGGGCCGTACATAGCGGGGGGGCGAAGGGGGCAGTTGCCCCCGCCAGGAAAACTAAATGTTTTTTTTCTAACATAGTGTCTGATTTTGCTGGGCTGTTTCTTGTAGCTATATTGGTCCGAAATCTCACGAAAACCGAGTTTGCCCCCGCAGACAAAAAATCCTAGGTACGGCCCTGCACACTTAGTTGAATCAGTTGTACTACTTAGCATAATTCAATCCATAATTTCAACACTTGCAAATAAGCTTTATTGAACTAACCTTTCTTGTCTTCTACAATTTTTGAAAGCTCTAAAGACAAAGATTTTTGGAATTTCTAGCCAGCTTTGGTTGATTATAGTGTTTTGTTATTGAGGGAATAAAAAGGCTACTCAACTTGCAAACACTGGCATTATTGCTCAGACTGTTTTTATAATGCTCATTTTTTGCACTCTTTCTTTTCTCAATGATCCCCAAACTCATAATGATAGTAATCTAGTTTATGTTCTCGCGCAAAATGTTTTGGGCCCTTCTCTGGGAGGGCTCATTTTAACCCTTGCTTAGCGACTCGGGCTTAAATGAGTCTTGAGTCCGGCCCAAAACATTTTTATGCCTACAAACATAAACTGAAAACTCTAATAATTTTATTTTTAATAGTATTATATTTTATCGAATTGTAATCCATTAAAACAATTTCTTTTTAATTTTTTAAATATTTTTATGATATTTTATATTATTTATGTATTTTTTGCATTTGATATAATTATTACAGTATTCAAAGGCACTCCAACTGATTCTCCCCCCTCCCTCAACTGTGGGCAATGTAAATACAAATTTTATTGCTCAGAGTACAGTGTCTAAAATTTCCTCTGATTGTTGGTCTTTGTAATGTTAGCGTTGGCGTCAAGATTCCGAAAGTGAAAATCTGGATGAGTTGCAGGTAATCTTAAGACCTAGTAAACTGAGTTTATTAAACTGTCCAAAGAACTGTCTTGTTCAGTGAGTGTTATATATAGATCTGTATAGTAATCTAAACCGTTGTTGTTGATATTCTTTAGAGGATGAGGAAGAAAATTTCGGACTTAGAGGAGGAAAACAAACGGGTAATTTTTAGTGCTAATATCTCTGTGCCATTCCATTTTAAGATAATATTGTGAGATGGTAATGTTTTTGTTCTATTTTGGGAGGTCATCACAGCAGAGTTCCATGTGATTGTAATATGGTTTATTATTTATTCAAAATATTTCCCCGTTTCTTGTTGGTTCCAATCCCCTGCCTAATTCTGGCGCCTAACAGAAATTTCTTCGACTATTGCTTGATCGATTATTTGGATATTTGAATACGTAAAAAAGAACAAAAGAATTCCCCCTGACAGTTCCCGAGCTGAGTTTTATGTACTGATTAAAGAACGCACATTCGTGTGTTATCAGGTTAAAAACAAAACCCTGAGATTAACCGTTTCCTTTTATGTGACCTTTTAGTTTCAAGATCCAGTATTGATATATTGAAAGGTAGTAAAATAAGGGCACCGATGTCATTGCAACTTTAGTGGTCATAACAAATTCTCATCTTTATCTAACACAACTGTGGTGGCAATTTTTCCAAATATCTTGAATTGTGGTAGCCATCATAAAAAAATTCTAGAAAGTTAAAAGTATATGATTTTTATAGGAATTGTTCAGAAGTCCTTGTCACGCACCACTCTCCTGATAGATAAAACATCTATGGAAATTTGTCCATTATTGTTAAAGGTCGCTGTGAGGATTAAAAAGTAATCAAAAACGACAAGAGAACGAAAGTGTTTTGAACTCTCAAAAAAAAGGCGATAAATATTAAAGATACACCTAATTGCAATAACGTTTGTCTTAGAAAAATGCTAAAATTAAAACGAAAAAAACAGAATTATCAAGCCTACTGATAAACCACTCTAGGAAGCAATCATTTGCAACAAAGCGGTTTTCAAGCGGAAAAACAAATATAAATGCAATGGCTGCACGCACATGTTCCAAACTTGATGAACCCTAGAGTGGTTTATTAGTCAGCCTAATTAATTCCTCTTTCCCCTATTATTGCGGTTAGGTGTGCAGCCCGGGCTGCAGCTTTTGGGCGTTCGAGAAATTCAGCTCGGTCTCATGTTTCAGACTTCAGAATGAGTAGGTCAGACAGCCAGCCAGTGGCTGTTGTCGGAGACTGTTTCAAACTTAGGGGTGCTGGGTGTTAAAAATGGGAGGAAACATGGTGATTTGTCAAAGAAGTCCCGAAATTTGTTTGTCTATAGTTGAATAAATGACAGAGAATGTGATTTGGTGCAATTTCTAATATTCCCCAACAGATACTTAATCTTAGTCGCTGAGATTTTCTCTCATATTTCTCTACAAATAAATTTAATGACGCAGTGGCGCATTGTTGCCACTTCTTTGCGGCTCTCCTTCCCCAAATCACCTTACCTTTGCTTCCCCCCTCCAATCCGCGAGTGAAGAGAGCTTTGGGGAAGCGTAAGGCAAGGTTATAAACTGTGTCTTTGTCCCCTTTTTTAGTTAAAGCAATTGGCAGATGCAACGCAGAAGTATCTGGACAATATGGTCGGATTTGTTCGCCAGGTAATTATCAGTAAATATAGTGTTTTTTCGTCCTTGCCTATAAGGGAACGTGAAGGTATTTACAGTCTCGAGGCAAATTTTTTTATCTTTTTAATCAATGCATTCTTTTTTCTAGAAGTACATTTGTAGATAAGGTTTTCAGGGAAGAGATTCCTCCGTAGAATGACAGACAATTTTTGAAGGTCACTATGGAACCCCATCCAAGTGTTACCTATCTCCCGCGGTCATGTTCTACCTCTCCTAGATGTTCTAGTCAACAAAACCGAACCACACCTAACTGTAACCACCGTTTAGCGGGAAAAAACTTTCACAGGTTTGCTCACCAGTAATCTGAGTTTCCTCCCTTCACCTACAAATTGGGAGTAATCAAAACCTTGATTGATAGAACCTTTGAGGTAAACAACCCTTGGATGGGGTTGCCTACTAACCTTCATAAATTGTTTGTCATTCTACGGAGGATTTACTTCCCTCTGACAATGTAAATTCTCTGCATTGGGTGATAATATTTATTTATAAAACACAAGAGCACCTAAAGTTTCCAAAAGGATGCATAGTAATGAAATTGTATATGATATAGTGAATGAACGTTTTAATTATTTTCACTGACTTCTAGACTGCAAGCAGTCTCCCTTTTTCTTCATATTTAGTGAGGGGAGTGCACGCGCGTGGTCATTTGCGTGTCTCGCGTGTTTCACTCGACGGACTAAGAAAAAAGGGAGACTGCCCGTAGTCTAACTGACTTCTGATAAGTCCTTATAACACTAAGCTCTTTTATACCGGTGTCATGTTTAGTATGCGACTTCCTCACTGGTGCTTGTTGTATTTCGTATGGTGTCACGTTATTTATTTATTTATTTATTTATTTATTTACTAATCGTATCCGCAGCCATTTCCTTCCACTCCTGGTCCAGTAGCTGCTCCAGTGAACGACGAACAGTGTGTACGTATTAATTTCCTCACTGGCGCTTGTTGTATTTCGTATGGTGTCATTTTATTTATTTATTTATTTATTTATTTATTTATTTATTTATTTATTTACTCGTCGTCTCTACAGTCTTTGCCTTCTGCTCCTGGTTCAGTGGCTACTCTAGTGAACGTCATTCCATGTTCACGTATTAAATACGATGACACGGATGTCATGCTGCTGAAAGTAGCTATGGCGGTGGCTAGCCGAGCGGAAATACCAACACAAACAGAAAACCTCCCAAGTGTCGGCTGTGTTATTCGTCGTGCAGGACACCCCACCCTACCATCGTTCCATTCACTTGGATGGAATGGGTTTTTAATAAAAACAAGTAAAAGTGATCTGGACGGAGCCTTGAAGAATGTCCAAATCACGTCAACCAAGAAAAAGGATAGGGTCCTCGCGTCGCTGTTCGGCCTTCATGCTGAGGATAATGCGCTTCGGTATTGTCCCGAAAGCTTGATTGATGCTACCGTATATTCTACACATGTTCCTTGCTACGAGTGTGCAAAAAGACTTATTGAGCGTGGCATCGGGCGTGTTTTGTACTTGTTCTGGCTGGAAGGTTGTGAAAGTACAATTGACCTGTTCAAAAGTCGTGACATTACATGCACAGCCTTTGGTCGAAGAGACTTAGTGCTCGAGGACTTTAATCTTGATGTCCTTACGACAAGGGGCATTAACCGTGGAGGCACCAATACGGAGAAACCACCAGAGGAGTGTCCATATTTTTTGAGCTCTAAAGACTGCAAGCAGGAATAAGTAGGGTTTATGTTCGTGCGTTTTCGGTATAGCCTTCATGGTCCTTCATGTACTCACCCTTCCCCGAAAAATAGAAAACGGCGTTTTTCTTTCTTAATTATTTTGTACATTCGTATTTAACGTTTTTTGATAGTGCTGTTACAGCTGCAGAAAGATACTCAATTAGAACGTTAATGCTGAAAGGATAAACCCGCTGCTGCTTGCATGAAACTCAAACTCTCGCTTAGAATAGTTTTCTCTTTTACCCGAATTTTTTTTTTTTGATAAGCTTGTAATATCTCAGTTAAAAAAGTTCCGGCTTCCCTTTTTTCCAAATATAAGGCTCAGTAGATTGTATAGTAAGGAAGAAACCTCAGTGCCGAAAAATAATAATCTTAAACCCATTAGTGCCAGTTGAGAAAGTGAAGAACTAATTAATCAATTAATTGGCATATAGTAGTGCATCTTTATGTAAACAGGTCGTTTAGTAGGCCATTTTCATGATAGCGTCATTTTACTACCACGACCAGAATCCTTCAGGTTTTTGCTTTCTTGTGCAAATTAGTGCCTTTGTTATCTAGACCTCGCTGGGATTGCCAACTTTAAATGTGAAAAGAAAAACGAAAAGAATTCTGGTCGTAGTAGTAAAATGACGCCATCGTGCAAATGGCCTGTTGGTGTTTAAACGGTTAGGACGAATTGAGTCCGAAAAGTAGTTTTCTGCCCTGTTGTTTTGGAACACCAATATGGCCGCCGTGACGTCATGTGAAAACGGTCTATCGTCCCAAGAGAAACTGAAAACAATGGTTACGCAAAATTTTAAGGGGACAAAAAAATTATTACGGTATTTTCTAAAGCGGCCATTAGGCTTTAGTACACCTCTAGCAAAAAGGTGCAGTACTTAACAGTTGCAGCGAATCACTGTATTTATATCCTTACAGCATTTCTTTAATGTAACAAATTGTCCAATAAATTTAATAGCTTTAGTAATTTTTAGTTTTCTTCACTGTTACCAAGAGACCTAATGGCCATTATGGCTCTTGATGTTACGTCGCTTTTAAAAGTAATGATAGAGAACAGTCCTCTCTTGAAGAGAATAAAATAAGCACACAATAATAATGATATAACGAATGTTCTTTTTTTGAAGTCAGCAGTATCGGAAGATCATTTTTTTCTTAGTATAGTGTATATTGCATTAAATGCAGAAATAGTAATGGAAAGTTGACCGAGATGTCAATGTGATTAGCTCGACTAATAGTAAATATATTTTTAAATAGCTGTCCGTAAATCATAGCGTGGAAATATTATTAGATAATTTTAGGATTTTAATTGATACAGAGTAATTTTGTACAAGAGCAGTTGTTGATAAAGAAAAGTAATTTTTAATTTGCTTTGCGGTTTATTTTGTTCTGGTTGAATTTCGAGCTCTCGTGCGCGAGAAGCGTGGACAGCGGAGCACCATGGGTAATAAAATTTGGTTTAAGTTGACACTATACCAGAAAGCTGTCCTTGTGCCGATACGAAAATTCTGCCGGATGGGCTCCTGTGCACACATAAGTTCGGTGATATCTCTGAGGGAGCGAAGCTGCGCCGCGCACCGATCTTGAAAGTGGAGCGTCCCATATCGGATAGGTTTCTGCCACTCCTCAACACAGTGTGAACAGGTATTCGAACCGTAGCGGAAGTAAATGAGTTGGAGCGACAGCTGGAACCAACTGAGATGCCACCGCTCTGGTTCGATGTTTGATGTGTGTGAATGACAATCTCCTTTGGTGCTGAATGATGCAAGTGAAGAAGGGCTTGCCATATATTCCCAAATGAATTGACCACGCGGGGCTGGCAAAAGCCGTACAAGAGCTAGGCAAACTATACCCCATGATCGGGACGAACAAACCACTTATAACTGACTACTCTTGACTTGGTAGCACGCATACAGACCAGTGTTAATGTTCCACCAGGTTATTCCAGCCCCATTCAGCATGATCCGTTCGAACGCCTTCTTGGGCGATGTTGGATGATGTTGGAAGAGTAAAATCCTGCCCCTAGCGGAGAGGGGGGGGGGGGTACTCCGGATTTTAAGTGACGTGGATGATCTTAAGGATTTTGTGGGTTTGATTTTAAGATTTATGGATTTTTTGGGGGAGCGGGTATTCAATTCGTGGTACGGAAGTCCCTGTTCGGCTGATTGGAAGTTTTGCGAAAAAGGTAATGTTTGGTCCAGGGATTTTTTGGGGTTTTGTTGGAAGCCCTAGGTATTTTTCTAGGTTTTGATTTTTACCTCCATTCGATCATCGCCGTGACTTGAATCCGGAGTACCCCCCAATTGTTTTCTTTTTCTTTTCGAAAATCGACGAGCATGCTCGACGATCTCTAAGGCCATACCAATAAAACGTTTCTTTTCCCATCGCCCGACCGACCCATTTTTTTCGAAAAGTAAAAGAAAAATCCAGACTAGTCAAAGAAGCAAGTACTTTGATTTACAAGCACACGATCTTGTTTTATTAAAAACAATTGGTATGATGTGATGTCCTTGTCTTTGATTAACATCGATACCACGTTTTTAAAGGCTGTTTAGACATCTGATAGTCGAAACGACCACGTTTTCGAGCATCAGCATTAGATCCCATCGGCCGAAGCCCCTTTCTCCCCTCGTGAAATTTACACATGGTAGAACTGTTTTCTGCTTTTATATCGAACTTAGATGATATTTCAAGCTGGAAATGTTTATGAAAGTGCAAGTCAATTTGAAAGAAAAAAAATTGATTCGAAAGACAGTAGGATTCGCACCCACGACCAAGATTGTCCAGTATACTACAGCTGATACTACGCTAACCACTAGACCACTACATGAAGTTTTGCTCGGTAGAGGCGAAATAATTCAAGTACATATAGCATCAACCCCAACCCAAAAAAGAACCTAACCAGTTTCGAAACAATGTTTAACCCTGATCAGTTGGGAAACGAAACACTTTATTGGGATGGCCTAAAGAGAAAGAGTGTCTGCGAACATGCTAGAACAGTGTGGGACCAATTTTTGGATTCCGTTTGAGCGAGCTAACCCCTGGAAATTTGAGGAGCGGTTGAATTGTTGGAAAGGCGTCTGAGAAGCTAGTGCAGAAAAGCCTAAGGCCATCCTCCTTTTTTTCTCCGTTTAACGTCGTCCGACCGACCAAAGTTTTAGGGCATTTTAAAAAAAGAGCATTTTCAAAAAAAACGGAACGATGTAGTTAAACCATTTTTCAGTTGAAATAATTTTTTTCATCTGAAAAATAAGCATAGTAACAGCATAGCGAAAAACAGGAACAGAAACATGAACATGTTTTACAGTATATTGTGCATTTTGTTAATCCAAATATGTGAATGTTAACTTTTAACGTCGTCCTGGGGTACCGGGGCCTCCTATTCCGAGACTTCTTGTGATTTTCTTTTTAGGTTTTTTTTTTCAATCCGACCGACCGACCCAATATCAGGAAACGCATTCGACGCGAAACGAAAGAAAAGGGGATGGCCTAAGTTAAAAGGCGTCATTTCCTCGATATAGCTAGGGCACGAGGGACTTGGGGCGCGGTGAAGAGCATACTCATTATTTCGTAAAATATCTGTGAGTTACAGGAAAAAAAATGGCCACATAAAATGACTTGTCACGGCTTTTAGTCGACTTAGGTCTTGCCTATTTTGTTAAGCAACGCGTTGTTCGTTAAATTATCCGCACCTCTGAATATCGCGCTTATTCGGGGGCGGCGCTTATTTGAAAGCGGTGTGACGTCAGGTTTTTCATATCAAACTCATTGCCCATAAATGAGGACATTTGCTCTTCAATGATCATTACATGGAGTGTATGCCACAGCGCGTGCACAAGGGTATTATGAATAAGGGTTTTTTATTGCTGGACAAGATTTCATCATTGGGTTAAAATAAAATAACATATTTGAGGTTTTGTTGTGCGTACCATTTAAAAATAACCAGTTTACGTGCAGCATTTAAAATTTAAGGGGCAATGAACATGAGCGAGAAAGTCGGGAGACTAAGCCGAGGGCTGTAGAGAGTTGAAGTTTCATCACACGCACAGAAAATTTGCAGGAAAGTAATGATCTACCTGATAATTTTTTTCGTTCACACAGGAGGAACATGACGTCATCAGTCACGCAATCAGAGCGTTTTGAATATTTTAGTTCGTTTTTAACGTACATTTTTTGCCATAAATTGGCAAGTTTTTGTTGTCTTTCTCTACAAATCTTTTCACTGTATTACCCCTGAGTAATCGTTATTCCATTTTCAAAGCAAAAGCAAACGAGAGAGAGATCATGTATCAGCTCTTCTAACCGTAAAAGACAAAACAATGGCAAAAAATTATGAACAAGGTTGTGTTAATGTTTTCCCAGACCGATGAAAAAGACACCGTCCGAGCAGAGCCTGAGTCAGTAGCCGCGCGATCTTAAACGTTCCCCGGTATGGACCAAGCTTGGAAGAGTCTTAATGGATTTATTGTGAGCTTTACGTCTTGTTTAGGTCAGTTATAGATTTAATTCTACACAAAAATTATGCATCAGTCAATTCCAGCTGCGCCCAGCCGCCCCTCCACCCCCGGGCTGACCCCCGGGCATTAGCAATGTGGGGACTCCTGAGCTGTCAAATCACCCGCGGTGGGGACTAAAAAAGAGGGCTAATTCCCCGTCCTCCGTCGACACTGCAACATTTTTCTTTGACTGCACAGTCGAATAGTAGTTAATAGTGCCGTTTTAAACATTTTAATGTGCGTTTCAAGTAACGTCTTCCCTTGTAATAGCGCTAGGATTCTAATTAGGATTTCACGCGACGACATGCACCAGTTTATGGTTTTAGTATCCATAAAAAAATTATTGACATTAAAATTAATAGAGCGCTGTAAAGTTGTATGTTTTGAATAGTTTTATAAATATGAAAGGATGTTCTTCAAATAATATCAACAGAAATTTGATTCACTAACCAAAAAACGTTGATTCACCTCAATAGCTCTCGAATTAAGAAAAAGCTTGGTGAAATAAATATATCTTTAAGTGATTTTTGAAAGAATTCAAGGAATTGGCATTCCTTAAAGATGCGGGTATGCTGTTCTATAATTTAGGTCCTGCAATAGAAAACCTTCGATCACCATAAGACTTTAGCTTAGACCTCGGGACTTGAAGTAACTTATTCGAGCAAGAACGCAAAGAGTAGGAGCTGCTACAAAAACTGAGCAAATTGGATATATAACTTGGTGAAAGTCCGTTAATAGCCTTATATACTGACAATAAGATTTTGTAAATAATACTGTACTCAACAGGCAACAAATGTAAGTCTATTAAGCTGAGTGTTATATTTTCATACTTCTTGGTGAACTGTTACGATGCGCGCTGCTCTATTCTGAACTAGCCGTAGGGAGAACCTTAGGTGGTCCACATAGAATCGCATTACAGTAATCCAAGTTGGTAGTCACAAAAGCATGATACTTGCTTCAGTAGATTCACTATCCAAATATCTTCTTATCTTTCTAATATTAGTTAAATGGAAATGACATGTCTTGCATATCTTTTTAATGTGGTCTTCCATATCAGCACTGGGATCGAGTATCACTCCAAGATTACGAACAAAAGAGGACGGTTGAATAGTTTCACCCCCAACAAGAACAAATTCCAATGAAGGACTGGGCCGATAACGTGAACTGAGTAGAAGCAGCTCGGTTTTGTCCTCACTATATTCAGCTTAAGACCATTAAGAATCATCCAATTGTTGATTTCCTGTACACATATTTTAATGCCATATTTAGCTGAGGAGAGAAGATCATCACTTCCTAATTTAAATGACACATAGAGCTGAGTGTCATCAGCATAGAGATGGTACGTAAGGTTGTGTCTCTTTATTATATCAGCCATCGGTGAAGTGTGCAAAACATATAACTGAGGCCCAAGGACAGACTCCTGCGGTACACCACAATTAAGTTCACGTAAAGAAGATCTTGAACATTCATACTGAACAAACTGTGTACGAGATGACTGGTAGGATGCGAACCAATAATAATATCATAACGTTGAGACAGCCTATCCAGTAGTATTTCACGAGACACAGTATCAAATGCAGCAGATCAATCTAACATAAGTATAGCACAACAGCTTTATTGCCGTCAATTGCATGCAGAATATCATCCTTTACCTTCACCATGACAGTTTCAGTGGAATGATGTACTTTATAGGCTGACTGAAAGTTCTCATGTAGGTTATTGTTCATCAGATAGTTGTTTAACTGAAGAGCAACACTCTTCTCAATAATCTTTGATAGCGCTTTCAAATTCAACATAGATGTAAAGTTCTTGAATTGTAAAAAGTCCCATCAGGTTTCTTGAGCAGAGGTGACAATACTGCAGATTTC